AATACATAGATGCTATAAACAATTATTAACCAGAATAAAGAAACCCCCCTCTTATCTTCTTTGTCCCTAGAAGAACAAATAAAAGGTAAAAGAGAAAAACATATAAAGATAAGAGATGCAATTAGATAAAGGAAAGCCCAATCCGATGAAAAATTTTCAAAGTAACAAAAAAATTCTAGATGCCACCAACTGGAATAAGGATGTAGTAAAGAAAACAAAAGAAATGAATCAGAGATTGGGGATTGGGGTAAATTTTAGATTTTATAAGAAATTCTGAGGAAAAGGTCATGTTTAAGACAACAAGCCAATGCTTTTTATGCATACAAAACTAGAGTCCACCAGCATTACTTCTAATTAATTAAGGAGTTAATGTTATATGTTTATTTAAGACTTTCATTTATTTAGTTATTTTCTGCATTTTTGGCTATGTTGTTGGAGTCACACTTTATCACATTGTCACTATCAAACATAAATATCCCCAATTCACAACACCAGTTCAAGACTATGCTAAAAGGGAAAAAAAGGAAAAACAAGGCACAACACTCCATTACTGAAAATAAATCATTATTAGAAAACAAAACACTATTAACCTGTTGCTCTAATTGACGATTCCGTTCTTCAAGTCTTCTTATTGTTGCCTGCTGATTTTTTAAGTGCATTGCTTCTGTTCTGAACTCTTCAAGTTCAACTTTCATCTTCCGGTTCTCAGATTTCAGTTCAGCAATTTTTAGATCTTGCTCCTGAAGGGAAATGTGAATCCAAAGAAACAAGCATACAGTACATGAAAAAAAAGCATAGAAAGAATACTTTTGCTAGGAAGGTGTGGAGCTACATTACAGAGGAGAGCAGAGGACGCCATATGTAATGATATGCTTTTTTTGTGAACACTTTTACAGTTTTTTATTAACATGTTATCAGAATGCATACTTTCATTTTAGGAATATAAAATTCTTTGCAGTTAATTTGAAGTGTTATGTTCCTAACATTTTCTCATTCAATTCAGTTGTTCTGTACGCTAATTGCTAGAAGCAGAGGTTTTACCCAAATTAAACAGCAGTTGAGTTCACAAGAAGCAGGATAATTGTTGTTGCAACATAAACATGAGGGATTGCAACCATAAACACTGTTGTTAGAGGCAACCCAAGTGAAATTGCTACTGACTCACATGCATATCAAGGCAAATATTATATGCACTAGCTTAAGATTTTGCATCATAAACAAGTTATTACAGTAACTCCTCTCAATAGTTTCTCTTTTCCCCTATAATGAAACAATATTTCTTATGTCAAAAAATCAGAAGTTTTCTGAGACCATTTGCATACAATTGCATAATTAATGTCACTAAAATACTACCCCCAAGATTGCTTTATTTGAATCCTAAAAAGTGTATAGTTATTGTTTGGTCCTTAGTGTACTACAATCTCACAAAAAGAAATCATTGGTTGACATTAAAGAAGTCCAATCAATTTAAAACAGAATTTAGGCAGAATGCAAATTTTAGAGGAATATCCTTCTCAGAAGTACAATATATCAGAGCTAATACTTACAGAAATTGAAGCAAGAGCGGGATAAGGATCAGGAGCCTCATAAAGCTTTTGGTAGATGTTCAGAAAAGCATTCTCACCAAATTTTGCTCTCTTGGTAAGATTATCAACTTCTTCTTGGTAACCCTTAAGTAACGAATTAAATGAACTTAATTTTTCCTCAGGTGAAGCTTTCTTGAAATCTGTTAAAGATGAGAAGCAATGACTAAGGCATTTCTCTACATATTGTATTCTGTTAAATAAAATGAAATATAAGAGCACATATTTTTCAACTAGTCTAACTTTCATAGTAAGAAACAACCAAAAGTAGGTTTTTCTGATTTTTTTTCTATAGATTATTAGATAGCATTTTTCTCTCAACCTTCTATTCTTACTTTGCTCAGAAACTGAACCAAAAATATGAAAAAAGATATTAGCAGTTTCGCCTTTGATAGGGATTTCTTTGATTAATAAAACGATCAAACACTTGAGGTTGTGTCACCCTTGTCTAGTTTTGACTAAATGTGCCCAGAAAAAAGAATGCCAACTCATCTATACAGACTATACTTGATATTCGAAAACATAGTATCTTGAGACTACCCTGCATCCTTGTAAAAGAAAACTGCAGAGTATTTATGATTACCGTACACACATGCCATACATGTAAGAGAAAGCAATACCTCTTGTACTCTCAGCAAGCTTCCGCCTATTTTTCTGGCTGTTTTCCTGATTTTCAGCTATTCTGAGTCCTTGTTCATCAAGCACAGTTTTCTCCTTTTCCAAATCAAAATCTGTGAATGGAAAAAACCAAAAGGAAATTAATACCCATCCCAAGAATAATTAGTTTCCTACTTGATTATCCTAACATAAAGTCATGTATACACTTTTCCAATATACATAGTACACTTTTTAAATTATAAATGGTTTAATAGAGCAACAAAAAAAGCAAGGCAATAGACATATAGTGAAATTAAAAATACCATAAATTGTAAAAACCACTAAGGAATCAAATATCACCAATCACTAATTATATATTAGCGTTTCTGATTGAACTAAATGGAATCCTCTCCTAATTTATTGTCTCATTTTTCTCTCCTATACTCAGAAAATGAGCAACAAAACAAACTAAAACCAGCAAATAATTTCAAAAAAAATGCAGTCCTCATTCGTTACAATCAAAATATCATTCCAACGAAAATCATTGAACTAAAACTGATCTAAAGCAGCCACAAAAATCGAAAGACTACCTCGCCAGAATCAAATCAACACTAGAGAAAAAATAAGTAAAAATAAGTTTAGTGAAGATAAAATTGATGATACCTTTCCAGAAATTGGAGACGACGGAGACAGGAGAAGAGGAAGGATTGGATTTGTCGCCGTCGGATCCACCTTGCGGAGCATCCATTTTGTGGAATTCGGATCTCGCCAAATGGAAGGGTTTTAGTTGGTTGAAAATGGATGCTTAGGATTTGAATCAGTTCCTATCTTCTTCCTAGTAGCGATGAGGATAGTAATATGTAAGATTTGTATGGGAAATTTCGGATGATCTGTAGATCTGTGAAAACCTTGAATTGAAATACTAAATCTGATCTTCCAAAATTAAAAGAAAATAAAACCAGACTAAAAGAAATTAATCAAATAGCTTTTTCTTACGTTCAAAACTTATATTTTCTGATTTCCGTTGGGTTGTTGTGGGTTCAACTTCAAGCTAAGCTAGATTTGGGTAAAGGCTTGGTTAGGCCCAGTCCGTTTTCAAATTGCATCCCCACATCTAGGGAAGGGCATACCCGATTTGATCAGATCGAGTTTTTTAAAGTTATGTTCGAGTCAGATCGGATTCGATTTTAGAATGAAAAATATTTGAGTCTGATGGACTCAAAAAATAATAATTTTACTTTATATATTTAGGGATAATTGCAATAGTATCTCTATATATTATTTTCATTCAATTAAATCTCTATTTTTATTGAATAAAAATAATATTTTTGAATATTTTGGGTCAGATCGGGTTCGGATTTTATCTCAAAAAATCGATTCGGGTTTGGGTCGGGTGGAAAGAATATATTTTTCAGGTATGGTTCGGATCGTGTGAAAAGTTTAAATTTTTTGGATTGGATCGGTTTGGGTGGACCGAAATCCGACCCAACCCAACCAGACCCATGCTTATCCCTAACCACATCACATAAATTTTAAGTTTGTATAGATTCATTTTTAAACCCCGAAAGACTCACCTACCAAAATCAAATATGTGAGACGAGTCAATTAATCAACTGTGCTAAGAATTGATCAAGTGGTTCCTATTGGCGAACTGTTCGAAAATGGTGTTCTTTGCAAAGTTGAAGAATTTGCACCGATAAGGAAGGCGCATCTACGGTCATTGGTTGAACCGGTAAAGAAGTCGGCGGCGGAGGGAGAGGCGGTGGACCTTTGCGGAAGGGTCGGCGAGCTTATTGAAGATACCATGTGTCAGATGATTCTCGGGAAAGCGAAGGATGATGGATTCAACTTGAAGCAGCTAATTGATCAAGCCATGCATCTCCATGGACTCTTCAATATTTCAGATTTTATTCCTTATCTTGCTCCACTTGACATTCAGGTTTGTCTTCTTCCTTCCCAAACAATGCACGGTGAATTCTCTGTGATCATGTGACGATGAATTAATTATCTTTTTGAATAGTTTGATTTAAACTTCTATACGTACATCCTCAGGGAATAGGACGAAGGCTTAAGAGGACGAGTAAGCTGCTTGACAAAGTGTCCGATAAAATAATCGATGAACATATGCAAGGGACCGATCCCGAGGGTCGAAAACCTCAAAATGATTTCGTTGATACGATGGTTTCCATGTTGAATTAATCGATGAACCCTCACGACGAAGATCAACCCTACATATTTGAAAGAAATAACGTCAAAGCTCTACTAATGGATATGATCGCAGCTTCATTTGATACTTCAGTTGTCGTCATAGTGTGGGCAAATTCTATTCGTCTCCGACAAGAGTGGGAGGCCGTGGTCGGAAGGAACAGACTTGTTGAAGAATCAGATGTATCGAAATTGTTGTATTTGGACATGGTTGTGAAAGAGAGTCTGAGGTTACATCCAGCTGGTCCGTTATTAGTCCCACACGAGTCCAGGGAAGATGTTATTGTCGATGGATATTTCATACCGAAGAAATCGAGAATCTTGGTAAATACTTGGTGATGTTATAAGGGTGCTCGCAAGGACATTAGGTGATCGACACGTGGTTGTTAGATGGGTGCACCACGTGTGTTTGGAAGTTTGCATGGATTTTGCAATCACGTCCCCGAAAGTTTGCACAAATTATATGTTCGTCTATATAGATGATCGCAGAGATGGAAGTTCGCTTATATGGAGGATTGCGTACATGTTGCAATATTCCAAACGGAAATAGTTTCTTCTTGTAATCACTACCACTGAACAAAGCTATACAACGTTTATGGGTAAAATACACGGCAGATCCTTGAAAAGGAATCAATTTGAACCCATCATTATATTGTTAAATGAATCAATTTAGTCCTTTATTACAAAAACAATACAACCAAGTCAAATTTTGATTGATTTAACTCACCAGATTGTTGCATATCTTTGTACTCTCACTTCATCAGCAGCTAGCTAGGGAATCATGAAATTTACTTCCTATACAGATAAACAACAGTCATCTGCATGCTGCGAGCTGGTTTTGATTGGATTCGAGGTTCCAAGAAGTGATCATCAATGGCTTCTCCTCCTGAATGATCTGTTCATTGTTGCTGCTGAATTCTTGTATTTCCAAAACCTCAACTCTCCGATTGGTCTTCTTCCTTATTTTAATGGCTATTTCTTGGGGTTTAAACCTCCCACAAACGCTCACCTTGCACTGCTTCATCTCTATCAAATGTGTATCCAGCTCTGCAATTTCATCACAAACATATACTATAATATATGAAGAAAAAAAATTAAAAGTTGAAGGGCTAAAAATGAAATAAGAATATTTGATCTGATCATCACCTTGGATTTCAAGAAGAGCTCTTCTTACTCTTCTGTAACAGCCGTTGCAGTCAATGTTGATCCTCATTACCATGCAGCAGAACTGGCCCATGCATGATGATTACCAGAAATATTATTTCAAATACAAATGGAGGTAGTTAACAAGAAATGAAAATGGAGCTTACCCTTTCTGTCATGAAGCCTGTAGAGGTGTTTGCTTAAGGATCCCAAGAATGGGGTGTTCTGAACAATTGAGAAAAGTTTACGTTAAAAGCCAGAAAAATAATGGCATTTGTTTTTTGGGATGAAAAGGAATAATGGTTTAGTTTAGGGTTAATTTATTGGAGAATTCTTTTTGAAATTATCGATTCGGTATTCAAGTTCAATTTCGAGTTGAAATTTGGAAATTGACCTTTCCGTTGTTTCTTTTTACATTTGACTAAGTATTTTGAAAATTTTATGATTTAGTCCCTAGTTTCATTATTCCTTCATTTTAAGACTATTATTTTTACCAAATTTGAACCACATGCTCCTAAATCATTATATAATACATATGTACTTTCAATTCCTATTTTTAATAACAATTTTTTTATTTTTCAAGTCCCTCAATTTTTCATAATTTCCCTACTTCTTCAATTCATCTTTTATTTTAAGTATGTTTTTACCAAATTTAAACCACATGCTCATATACCACTATAGAATAACTATGTAATTCAACTCTTGTTTTTTTACTAAAAATGCACTCTCTCTCTCTTTATTTAGTCCATTAACTTTGCATTTTACCCAATTTGATCTTTTGATTGCAATTGTTTACAAATTCTTTCTTCCAATCAAGTTCTTGACTCATTTATACTCTCATCAATATTTACCCTCAAAATACTTTCTTTAAAATATATTATTATGAATATATTTTATAATTTTATATTTTATTTGATATCATTATAATGTGAAAAGAATATATATATATATATGGTTAGAGAAAGTCGAAAATTTGTAATCAATCCTTGCCATAACACTATAAATAATTATAATCAAATTAGTACAGAAACTTGAATAACTCGACTCGAATAACTCGAAATTTTTAACTCAACTCGATCGAATGCTCACCCCTACTTAAATAGTTATGTGATCATATTACCAAAATTGAAAGTACACCACTCACATCAACACTAACCCCATAATTAAATGATCATTTGAGTAGTTTACCCTTAATCTAATTTAGTTTCTTATTCTCTTTCGAGCAGGAAAGCAGAACTTTTTTACTGTCTGCTCCAAAATAAATTAAAGAAGAAAGAAAAGTTGAAGAATAAATCTTTCTTTATCCTTTCGGATCAATTTAATATATATTTATTCGGCATAGACTTCTTTTCGTTCAACCAGAATAATTTAATGACTTATGAGCTGTTTGGAATTTAGCGTTACATGGCAGTTCATATCAACAAAGAAATCATTTTACACAGGCCTGTAAACAGACCGAACTAACACGAACGAGATATGTTCATGTTCGTTCGTTTAACTTTAACCTAACAAATGAACGAACAAGAACATAAATGAATACAAAATTTCTTGTTCGTATTTGTTCACTAAAGAATGTAGCATGTTCGTGTTCATTTATGTTCGTTCATTTAAATGATAAACGAACACAAATGAGCGAACATAAACGAACCTACAGAAGCATAACAAATGAACATAACTAACACAATAAATGAACGTAAACGAATGTAAACAACAATAATAACCACATAAAATTCATTATTCATTATTTTAACCTACAACTTTATAGTTAAAATTATTTAGATTTTAAATGGGTATGATTTATATTTCCTTTAATTGATTTGAGTTTAAAATTATTTGAGTTTTAAAATATTAATGATTGGATCTTAATATTTTAAATGAGTATGGAGATTGGACTGAATATAAACGAGCGGACATAAAAGAACATGCACGAACATAAATGAACGGACATAAACGAATATACACGGACATAAATGAACGAACATAAACGGACATAAATGTACTAACATAAATAAACGAACATAAATAAACGAACAGATTACCGAACGCTCACAAACGTAAATGAACGAACAAGACCTTTCTTCGTGTTCGTTCATTTAATTAAAAGAGCATAAAATCTTGTTCATATTCGTTCATTTAATAAATAAACGAACTTCCTGTCGAACGGTTTGCTAACGTTTGGTTCGTTTATAGGCATATTTTTACCTATATAAAATTAAGTCATTGAACTTTAGTTTTCGTATTGATTTTAGAATTTTTCTATATAATTTTTACTGAGAATTTGTTTTCATCTTTTAAAATTTTATAAGTTCGTCCCTTCGTAATACATTGCTTATATATTATTAATCATATTATCTGTAGTGTGGCTTCCATCTTCTGCTTTGGATAAATAAAGAGTTTTGATTGCATGAATCAATTTACCTTAGTAGTTAAAAGAACTATTGTTGTTACTAGAAGTCACAGGTTCGAGTACTATAGTAGGGTGATCAATCGTTCATTATTAAACATGTGAAAGTATTTAAAACAAATATTATTTTTATAATCACATTAGCTTAATAAAAAATAAAGAGTTATGGTTCAATTTTCCATTTTTTACAAAAGAAAAGTATATTTAAAAGTATATATGAAAATGTGTATGTATGGACCAATTGTTGTGAATAGCCTCAATAAATTTGATTCAGCTTTAGACCTTCTATTGGCTGCTTTGAGTTAATTCAGTGAAAAATGGATGTAGAAAAAAATTAGGATAAATTATGCTAGTACATAAACTATTAGTTTTGGTCTGTTTTAGTACTTAAACTTTCTATATTTATAAAACCATACCCAATGTTTAATTTTTGTTTCATTTTAGTTTCCCTTGCTGAAGTTTTGAAAATATATATAGCAAACACATACTTTAGAGAAATATTTAGCGGTAGGTATTAAAATAAAACAAAAATTATACTTTATGTATTTAAAAAAAATAGAAGTTTAAGTACTAAAACGGATCAAAACTGATAAACTAGGTACTAAACACATTATTTACCCTACCCAAAAAATTAAGCGATCGGTATGCAGATGAAATATTTAGGGCTTTAAAGATGTTTAAATACTATGAAGTCGTCGATAAATGAAATTGATTTTGATAAAGTGGTCGGCAGCCGACAATTTTATTTCAATTTTCGTTTTATATTTTTAAGATCAAATTAAAAGTAAATTAAATTATAAGAATAAAATAAAAAATTATAAAAAAATACTATAATAAAATAAAATAAAATAATAAATTTAAAGAAAATTCACTTAATGCTGATTTAAAAAATTCCCACTTTACTCCATTTACTTTAATTTTATTTTGAAAATACAAAAAGGAAATAAAATTGAAAATATAAATAAGGATTTTTCATAAAATAGCTCATTGGCCTAGCTCCATGACACTGAAAAATGTATCATTCACAGAAGCGACGAGACCTTGAAAGGTACTTTTTCAAGTGTCTATGTTCCATCTATCGGGAAAGGATCTTGGGTGCGATTATATCAACACTAATACATAGGATCCTATCAAAATTTCACAATTAAACCTGTTTGGACGAGAGTAATACTAAGATGGATAACCTCCTAAGAAGTCATTGTATTGCTTCCCTCGTTTATGTGAGGATTTTGGTGACATGAATAACAAGTCCTATGAAAAACACGATCACCTGTTAGTGAAAGGCTTTCTACGTTCAGTCAATCTACACATAATGAATCGATCCCTAAGGAACCCCCGAAAGGGCTGTTGGAAATTCAAAATTGACCTTTCGATTGTTTCTTTTTACATTTGAGGTCGATAATGTTGGTGAATTAGCTTAAGAAGGGGTCCAAAAAGAGGGATTCGAATCCTCGATAAACATGGCAATTCCAATGCTAGGTGTTGAACTGCTCGGCATCTCTCCTGTATAATCTAGTGATTATGACCCAAAAACAAACCGCGAGTGAATAGCGAATCATTCATATTCTTGCAGTAAAGGTACGCAGCGACGGCAGCGTATTACCTGTCGATTGACCAGTGCTTCACTTTGTTCCCCTAATAAAATGATTCCGGTAACTGTGGGATAAATTCATGATTCAAGATTTTCAAATGCATCACCATTTTCAATACGTTGAAAGAGTATCTATAAGGTTCAAAACAGTTGAAAACAAAATGAACACTCGATATTAGCAATCAAACAGGATATGCAACACTACAAACTCCTTCCGAAATGACAACTTATTTCATTTATCTGATGTACTGTTATGGACAGATTCGCCAAATTAAATCCAAGATTTTGGATGCTAACAAGAAAGTACAAAGAAAATGACATCAAGTTCAATCTTGTTAAAGAGTCTTACAGCGCAAGCAACAATAATAACAATGTCGGTGAAAAATTACTTCAATCTCACACTCCATTTGATGGCCACAGGAAGTTACCTGCAACGGTGAAGCATGATATTAATTTTATTTGTCCAAGTTCTTGAATTGTAACACAAACGTAGGTTTTGATCATAAATGCAAAATCCTGCGGTCATACCACGTAAAATAGGTAAAAATAGACGGAAATGTAAAAGATGATGAAAAAAAATTTCTTTCATGGCCATACTAAATGTACCAAAATGTGGATATACAACTGCCACAACAAGCTAACATGCAATACTGTTCTTTGTTTCATTTATTGCATGCTTTCATTTGCTCCAAAAATCTACGTTCATGTCACATTGTAGGATATCATATTAGACCAGATATTAGTATAAACCTCCGTACCACACATACTTAGATATCACTCTCCATCCTTGTTTTATCACATTATCGAACATCAAGGTACCAAAAAGATTCATTTAAAAAAATGGACAAACCATAAGCAAACGGACTAGTTTTTGACGTAATACCAAGAGAACCGTAATGATCTAGCAGTGACCAACGTGCAAAATAGCTTCACCTAGAAATCTACCTAACACTCCAAAAAAAAATCTATCTAACACACTTGATCAATGATTGTCCACTGAATGCAAGTTGAATCAGCACGTGAAGCTATATACCTTTGAATGCATTTACTTACAAAGAAATCTTAATTCAAGTTGAAATCACTTAAAGTATGTTTGCTTGGCTAAATAGAATAAAAGGGGAAATGCAATAGCTATTACAAGGATGTATGGGCATCACATAATTTGGTTAGCATAATGGAATTGAAGAGGAATCTAACAAAGATGTTTGGTTGATAAAATCATGTCAATGAATGTGCAAGGAATAAGCACAAGAAACCATTTTATAAAAATATCAATATTTTTTAATTATAAATTAATACTTTTTATATTTAACCACAAAATTATCATATGCATCACTAAAATTAGTATAATTTTATTTTCTCTCTTTTTTCCCTTTATTTTCAATTTCATTTTTCTTTACTCTTTTCCTTCTTCCATACAACACACAAGGCACCATCATCAGACAGTATCTTTGCACCACTCTGACAATTTTCTTCAAAGTTAAGATTCATAAATTGCTCAGCTCAAGCGAACTTGATATATTTTCTGCTCCTAATGCACACATCATTGCATATATAGCACATTCCAAATTGATTGGACAGTTATTACATCCATTAGATATGTTCCCACAGGACAGAAAAACCAAACCATAATTACAAGCTACTTTAAAAGGTAATAACAGAGTATTGCATGTTTTCAGCTCAACTGGTTCACTGGCCTTACAATCTTAAGCTAATAATGCCTATTGCAAGAAGATAATAGATTCCTAATCATCTGACACCCAACAGATTAGTTAAGATCAATTACACAAATCCTTAAGCTTCTGCTCAGCTTACCCCTGAAATAATTAATTAAATAGACCTCAAATATTAACGTTCAAGCAACTGAACAACAATGTTCCGAATCCTCATAAATGCAACTAAGAAAGATGCAAACAACTAAATTTTGATGATTTTGAAGAGTCTTCCTACCCGCTTAAAGCCTTAAATTATTCTTTTTCCACCCACTTCTGCTATATAATCTCATAGTTTTGTCCACCAAACTTTCTATAATTTCCTATCACAAGCACAATTGGAAACCTAATTTAGTTAAATTGTTTTAAACTTCTCTTTGTACAGATTCTGAAATTCATTCAATTAGTTTCACCAACAACATCAACAAGCAAAAATTAAATTATGTTGAAAAAAAAACGGTAAAATGGATTGTTTTAAAGAAAGAATAGATTACCCACTGTAACCGAATGAATCCATTCATTCTGACTCAATCTCTTCAACCTTCGGACCTAAATTCCCAAATCATGAACACAAATTAATACGGTTAGCCATTCTTTCCCGCAAATAATAGAAAAATCATATATCATACAATGCGAAAACATTGATCTTCTTTAGAATCGAGGAATCGAAGAGCAAGTAACAAAAATGACAGTTAATCGAGTTGAAAATATATAAACTAAAAGCTGTAAATGAATTTTAAAGAGAAGGAAGGGACCGTGGAGTGAAGGATGGCGTCCATCCTTGCCCCAACCGATGCCGCGGGTGGCGTCGAGGTACCGGCGGACGAGGTGGCGGCATTTCTGGAGATGGTTTACTCCTTCGATGCGGTAACACCACCTGACCTTGTCACGGAGGATCTTGGCTTTCTCAATGTCGATCCATTTCTCTCGAACGATGTGCTCCCTCATCTCCAGCATGGCCACCGGGTCTTTGTACGGATTGGCCGGATCGAAGTCATCCGGCGCCGTTTCTTCGAACTCTGCTACTCCCTTCTTCCTCACCATCTCGATTTCACTCGCCTCTTCTTTTTCCCTTTGCTTCGTTTCAACTTTATTGTTGATTTCGGCGTTTATGATTGGGCTTCTTTCATTCTCCAATTTTTTCAGACCCAATGGGTTTTAAGTTTGGTTAAACGAAGCATTAATACCTAAACTATCATATTTTAGTACTTAATTTTTTTTATTTTTTTAAAATTATACATAAAATTTAATTTTTGTTTTATTTTAATACCCATGTTAGAAATATAACGTTAAGTTTTGAAAAAATTGAAAGTTTATATACTAAAACAAACAAAAACTGATATTTTGCATACTAAACACGTTAAGTTTTTAATAGACACTAAAATAAAATAAAAACTAAAATTGAAGTATGCTTTTGAAAAAATTAAAAGTTTAAATATTAAAACAGAAAAAACAGATAATTTAGGTACTAAATGTGTCGTCTGCTCAAAATTTATATAAAATGTACATTCTAAAATTAAATGTTAATTATTTTTAAGAAAGAAGTGGTATTTTTAAGAGGTATTTAGAATGTTATTTTTTCCTAAAGGTTTTAGATTCGAACAACTGTGTTGTATATGTTATCAATAAGTTAAAAAAAATGTGAACGTATATTATTTTATAATCACCTCATACTATTCAATAAATAAATAATCATTTTAAAAAAATAATTGATTTAATTAGTTAAAAGGATGATTATTATCCGTTGAGACTAAAAAGTAACCAAGTTTACGATTACGAGAAGTTAGTATCTTACAAGTCAATGTTTTCTTTGATAAGTTTATGATTAAGTATTTGACGATATAAATATATATAATGTCTTAAGTTTTAGACTTATGCGAGAGAGAATTTGTTAAACATTCAAGAGCGAAAAAAAATAACTAAAGCGATATCAGAATAAAATAAGGCATTCACAAGAGACAAGATTTAACGTGTGTTTAGGACATGCCAAACAAACAAAAACTGATATTTTACATACTAAACACGTTAAGTTTTTAATAGACACTAAAATAAAATAAAAACAAAAATTTAAATATGCTTTTGAAAAAAATTAAGAGTTTAAATACTAAAACAGAAAAAACAGATAGTTTAAGTACTAAATGCGTCGTCTGCTCAAAATTTATATAAAATGTACATTCTAAAATTAAATGTTAATTATTTTTAAGAAAGAAGTGGTATTTTTAAGAGATATTGAGAAAGTTATTTTTTCCATAAAGGTTTTAGATTCGAACAACTTTGTTGTATATATTATCAATAAGTTAAAAAAATTGAACGTATATTATATTATAATCATCTCATACCATTCAATAAATAAATAATCATTTAAAAAATTAATTGATTTAATTGGTTAAAATGATGATTGTTATCCATTGACACTAGAAAGTAACTTAAGTTCTAGATGATGAATGATAAATCCATCACAAACCAAGTTTACGATTACGAGAAGTTAGTATCTTACAAGTCAATGTTTTAATTGATAAGTTTATGATCAAGTATTTGACGCTATAAATATAGATAATATCTTAACTTTTAGACTTATGCGAGAGAGAATTCGTTAGACATTTAAAAGCGAAAAAAATAACGAAAACGATATCAACATAAAATAAGACATACACAAGAGACAAGATTTAACGTGTTTAGGACATGCCTACCTCCACATGCGAGATGAAGAATAATCTACTATAAACATAGAGAACACGAAGAGTAAAAATACATGATATCATATGTATTCTAAAACTCGATATAGATACAAAAATTCGATATATCCCAAAACACTCTTTCAACATCTCTACAAAATCATCTCTGTAACATAAACCAAAAAATTTCAGAGATCTTAAATCAAATAACTGTAGGTGTATATATTATCAATAACTAGAAAAAATCTAAACATATGTTATATTGTAATTATTTTATATTATTCTAAAAAATATATTAATAATTACTTAAATATATGAGCATTCTATGTCCAAATTATAAATTATCGAAAAAAATCTAAATAACGATTATTTTATTAATTAAATTATAATTTTTTTATTAATTTAAATAAAAATAAAACCATATCTATTTAAATATAACTTTCAACCTTTTAAATATTGAACGTTTACGCCTATGGTACTTATACTATTTAAATCCGGATCTTGACAACTATTCTTTTACCACGAAGAGTACTTGATTTGTGCCTTAAAAAAAACTTTTCAGAACAACTTCTCAGTTCTAACAGGATAATGGAGTTGGTTGGCCAGACAGCCGAACTCCATCCTTGATGATGGTAACCATCTCAAGTCAATCCACAAAAGATGGGGGCATCAATGTCGGATCATGCACACGTGGCAAACACCCAAAGGAACCAAGTCAATCCATAATGGAGTTAGTTTCCTACTTTACCGGCTTTTTCTCCCTCCCCTTCGATATTATCAGAAATGGTTTCGAACTCAGTTTTCGAAAGAAAAAACAATTTATATATTTTAATGGCATAACCCCATGCTTTGCCAATTAACAAAGATTCAACCTTTGTTCAACGTGCACATCCCTTTCTAGCTTTGTCTTTGTCTTTGTCATGACTCCCCAGTTTTACTGTAATGCTTTCGTCATCTTTTTCAGTTCAAAGTTGTCCTTTTAGTTTTCACTATGAATCTGCAGATTGTTCATATTTTTCGCATTTTTTATGCTTCTTGTATTGTGTTAACAAATGTTGAATGATCATGTCTTAGTCTTTGGATGGTATAATGTTTAGTTTTGAATGTATATATATTGATATATACATATATATATAATATATATATGTATATGTGTGTGTGTGTGTGTGTATAAACATTCACTGTTCTTTTCCTCCTCTGCAGCCAAGAAACGTGAACTCGTGATTGAGTGGATAAACAGTATTCTTCCGGGCTTCAATTTAACAACAGAAGCATCTGATGAAGAATTGAGAGCTCGCTTGATTGATGGAACTGTTCTATGTAGAATCTTGAACACGATTAAGCCGAATTCTCTAAACGAGGTTGTTCGGAACTTATTTTAGATTCTTTTGATGGATTCTTAATATTAGTTTACAGAGTGTTTATGTGAAGGATGAATGTACATTCTTTTCCTCCAGGGAGGGTTTCTCGAAAATTCTTCGGTGTTGCAGTCGGAAAATGTTAAACGGTTTTCGGCCGCTATGGACGAGATGGGGATACCCAGGTTCGAGTTATCAGACCTAGAGAAGGTATCCCCTAACAGAAAACAGCAGACAGCAGTTTAATGAATATGTTTGATCTGTAAAATCAAACCTTATATTGGTGTTACATAGATACTTATTGCTTTAGTTTATCTGCTTCCTCGTCTATGAACATGGAAGAGTTTGAATGGCGTTCGATGATCGTACTCTTTTCCGTCGTCTTCAGGGATCTATGAAGACTGTCGTCAACTGCCTTTTAGCACTAAAGATACACTCCGTATCATCTGTAGATGACTTATCTGCCTTAAGTACTATTACTAAAGCTGAAAGCATCGACGGATATCCATCGTCCCCTGGCTCTCTCCCACCATTATTTGATGAAGAAATACGGAAGGCTTCCCCGGGATTAAAATACCAATGTGCCATGCACAATCCTACAATTTCAGGCATGTCTATCTGCCTCCTTGTTTGTGCTCACTGACATTGTATCTGGGATAATTCGAACGGTCCAGGTGCTTTCAATGGTAAAACTGTACATATATGTGCACAATTCATATATATCTAAATGTGCCTTCTGCAGAACCATCAGCCACAGTACTGCAGCATGATGGACACAAGTTCCATGACTTGTTTCAGTTGAAACAAGAGCGTTATGATGAGCTCCCCGTAACAGATATTCTAGAAATGATGGAATCAAACAATTTAGATGTAAGTGGGCAGCATTAATTATGTTTTACATTGTTGAATACCCCAGAAACTTGTTTCATATGGTGTATGTTTGATGTGTTCTCATATTTCCTGCCTGCAGAATGCCCCAACTCAATCACTTTTAAATGCTGTGTATGGTATTCTGGATGAAAGTGTCGAAACAAAGAAAGACGAAATGACTCATGTACGTATTTGGACTTAGTATTTTACATGAATGGATTTGCATACATGTTCAAACATATGGATATTATGTTTATTGCCTCAGCTTGTGGCTTGCCTACTGAGAAAGCTTGTGCAGGAGATCGGACGGCGCCTATCAACACAAGCAGATCACCTAAGAAGTGTAAATCCAATTCTATATTATCTTGCTTTAAGGACTTTATTCTCAGTTTCTCTTTATAGATTGTTATGTGGTATTGTGGCATGCAGCAAAACAATCTTTACAGGGCTCGTGAGGAAAAGCACCAATCGAGAATCAGAGAACTCGAGGCCGCCCTTGCATCTGCAACTCGTAAAGAGACTACGGTGCATAAACTAATGAATAAAAATCCACTAAAAGGCAGTTCCCTTGTGTCTGTAACCTCTGTATTTAATGAACTTATATGTTACCGCAGGTCACATACCAGGCTCAGCAGATAAGAAGTATAAGAAAAAAGAGCACTTCTTGGTTTTTAACTTCATCGGCCTTGAACTGCTTCCGTCCGACTCGCTCGCAGGCATAGTTTTGTAGATGTTAATTTACACATTATTAATCATTACTTAATGCAAAATCTTCATGTGGAGTCTTTACTTCCTGTGGATATCTAATCTCATGGACTATGAGTACCTTTCTCATAGAATTTTTGGTTCATTTACTTGCAGATTGTGAATTTGGAAATGGAAGAAAAACGGAAACTTGAGAAGCAAGAAATGATGAAGTTAGTGAAAGAAAATGAAAACTACATCCATGAAATCGCAGAACTGAAGCAACAAGTAGAAATTTCTGGAATGATGCACAAGTTTGGCTCCAGGGAAATGGAAGTACAGGCTAAGGCTGCAATTACAGTACTCCAGATGAGGATAAAAGATCTCGAGAGCCTCCTTGCCGATTCAAGAAACAAGGTGAAAGATATTGAGAGTCTCCTTTCTGATTCAAGGAACAAGGTGAAAGATCTCGAGAGCCTCCTTGCCGATTCAAGAAACAAGGTGAAAGATCTC